TCTTTCTCTCTCTCTCTCTCGAGTTTGAAAGAGCTGTCCAGGAAAACACCAAGGTTTCTAACAGTGGGCGAGAGATGGCTACCAAGGGGACCTAACGCATCAGTTAGTTGTTCCAGCGGGGTATGACTATCAAACACTACAACTTCTGTCTTATCCTCCTTCTGGCCTCTCTTCTGGGGAACCAGCTCCTAGTTTGGATTCAGGACATGGACTTCCCCTCTACCTTAAGATTAGCCCTAAAACCTTTGTGGGTTTTTTGATAAAGAATATAGTTAGGGCTGGATTAGGTGATTAGGCATTAAGCCCACACCTGCTCTAAGTTCAGACCCACAATGAACGAAAACATTCTGTGCATATCAGAGATACAAACTTTATGACACAAGTTTACATATGTATATAGGGAGCTCAGGAGGAAAGCAGTGTTGTAGAGTGACTCAGTAGGGATAGTGCCAAAGCTTTCTTCTTCATAAATGAGAGATGCAGGGTTTAAAATGACCAGGAAGCGCATCTAGTACATGTGGAGTGGGTGCAAAAAAATTGGCGGAGTGCAACAGCAAGTACAACACAAATTTTGGGCAATTTGCTCCAGCTAGCGGTTAGCACAGCAGATGCCGCATCCTGCCGTGTGAATGGGCCTTTGCTCCAAAAGTGAGTCAGTCCCCCATAGGCTCAATGTTAACTGTAACTCAAGTTTAGAACAAAAATAAGCTGATTTCCATCTGCTTCCAACTTCGTCAATGAGATGGAGAAAATATAAATGGGTTTTTGTGATAGTTCTTCAGTTAATTCATCCTTAGTTAACAAAGCGTGTGGGAGGTGGAGGAAGAGAACCTCATTGTGCTCTAGTTGCATGATTCATAAAATTGGCAGTGAGCAAATAAAAAGCAGTCTCCATTTTCATCTGGTGGAGCTACAAGTATGAAATAATTGATGTGACGATGGCACTAGAATTTAGATGGAATCATGTATCATAGAGATCTCTCTATAGACAGACTGAAAGGAACGTTTAGTATCCGTGCAACAATTACCGGTAGTAACAGGACAAGTGACTGAACACTGATCGTTGGCTTTTTAAAGACAGACTGGTATGTGCAGTAAATATTCAAGGGAACAGGTTGAATTGGTTTATAAGCTGTCAGTTTCCTTCTTGTCCACAGAGTCAAAGTGTGACTCAGAGTAACCTTGTTGACATAAGGATGACTCTTTAAGTGTCTCTGTCCGTGCACTGAAAATACTTGACTAAAAGAAATCATCTCCAAGTAATAAACTAATAAAGATCCAGTATTTTGAGGATTTTATAGATGTAAACATGCAAATAAATACACTCATATATGCACTCTGATATTTAGTGTCAAACCACTTTCTAAAACAGACTAGATATCTTATGGCAAAAAAACAGTCTAGTATTGTTTTATCCCTCAAAATCCACAAGAATTTGCAGCTTCATCTTTAATGCTCATTATTTTGTATTGTATGGAAAAAAATCCTACTTGAGAGAGAAAACAGCCTCTGGTTAGGAAGCACTTGGTGACGGTGGGGAGGAAGGGGCAGCCATGTGTTTTTTTTTTTTTTTTTTTTTTTTTGTTGTTTTTTTTTGGTATATTATCTCTTTTATTGGGACAGCTGTTGAACATAACAGTAGTTTGCCTTTTTACATTTTCTTTGCTGTCACATTTTAACTTATAATTGAAAAATAAAAAAGAAGACAAAAGAAAAGGAAAAAAAACCCAAACAAAAACAACAAAAAACAAACAAACAAACAAAAAACAAACTAGGGTTAGGAGGCAGCAGGGCAGGTAGGTTTACGTAGAACTCAGGGTTGTAACATCATACACAAAATCACACCTCATATGCTTAACATAGTCTGTCCATTTAGACCATATTCCGTAGAAGGTATCCCTCTGAAGTTTAAGAGAAAATGACACTTTTTCCATCGTATAGATCTCTTGTACAGAATGTATCCAGTCTTCTATCGTTGGTGGTTCAGGCTTAAGCCATCTTCTCGTAAGAGGCTTTTTACTTGCGGCCAGAAGGATATACAGGAGTCTTCTGTCGTTGGAATTCAGTTTATCCACTGGTGCATTGCACAAAAACATGGTCTCAAAAGTTGAAGGAAAAACAAATGAAAAAACATTTTGTAAATGATCATGGATTAGAGACCAATACTGGCGAATATCTTTACAGTCCCAAAAGATGTGGAAATGGTTAGCTCCATCTCCCCCACATCTCCAACATTTATCACCAATTCCTCGATATCTTTGTTGAGCAGGGGTAATGAAAAATCTCATAATGCTTTTCCAGCAAAATTCACGCCAAACATTAGACCCAGTGGTAG